TTCACCATCAAAGATTCGAGATAATTCAAAGAATCATTCCATATGAAAAAAATGATTTCCAACGTTTAGAAAAACCTTAATTTCGCACTTTTTTTAAATACCGAACTTTTTTCACAAACAGAACTTTTGCTGTGTCTGTCCCTGTTTCAGTCTAACTACAGTTCTCACGATCTTTTGGAGAACCTTGGAATTTATTGTTCTAATATCCAACCATCAATAAATATGCAACATCCGCATGATATATATGAAATCAGTTTGCCATGCGTTTGGTGTCGGCAGATAATCTGAGTAGACATAGGTCATTGTACTGTCAGCGCTGAAAAAACATAAAGATCATAAGAGCAATCATATGCATCATTATGACACTGAATCTTTTCCAATAGTTAGTATGGCCGTGTGGGTATGAGTAGGTTTTTAGCTACACACACACATTCAGCTATTTTAATAAGTGACGTTCGAAGCGAATACTTTTAGCTAGTAGCATATGTTAATTCAAAAGCAAAAAGACAAACACTATTAGAGAATTTCTGAAAAAAACTAAGTTTTGTGTTATATAAGAGAAAAATCTTTCAATTCAAATCATTAAGATGGAAATATATGAAGAAGAGAATAGATAACCAAGTCTTTATGCTGGACTAGTGCAGAGGCAGATCTTCTAGAATTTTCTCTTTATGGCACAACAAATTATGCCTCAATTCTCTAAATTAAGCACCTCCGTATAGTAAACGCTTTTGAATGATCCCAACCATGTTCACAAAAATAGAGAGATCATTTTGATAATGTAAACATGACTATTCAATGCGTAACTATTTAAAATTGTGTACCATACGCTGTGACACATGATAGCGTTACAGAATCACGAACGTACTGCTGATATTTTGCAATGTTCACTAACACAAGATCGCCTTGCATTTCAAAACTTGAGATAAAATATAAAATCTGTAAAAAATGTAAATAAAGTAATAAAAATGATAAATTGAAACTGAAATAAATTCCATTATGTTTAGATGTTATGTAGTTTATGGTGGCCACTGTGTCATCCACGAAACCTTCACTTCGAATTATTTTTATTGATGTTCGTTTTATCGATATAGATTTGGGCCATTTGTATTACCCTCTAGAAACAGTACTGTCGGAGAATTGTTCACGCATGAAGCACATAATAAGTCTGGCAGAAGAATAGTCCACAGCACAAGAATAAAATCAATGATGACTAATAAGATCAAAATAATGATAGTTCTGTTCAACATGTTGATGATAATGGCTGCAAGTCATCTTCTACAATCAATGAGCAGTGTGTGAGTTGGAGGATATGAAATAAATAAAAACATAATGTTTATCACATAATGTAAACACTATCTGTGCATAACCAAAGTCTAAGCTCCTGATAATAACTTGATAGAAGTTCAAATGTGCACAAAAGGCGCAATCTGTCGAATATTTGGAAACTCAGCAAGATAACATCGAACTGTTGGGGCGATGAGATCATATTTTGATGGTTGATCCCAATCCTCGAGTCAGACATCGACTACATTTTCATATTCTGACATCTCTATGATATCGATTGCACGTATTTATGGACGACGAATCCTGTAGACACACCGAATGCTAATTTCTAATAAAGTTTGATTGAAATAACTTCTTTGAAATGCACTAGATGCACCATACACAGCAAATCTATCGACGTCGAAACCAAAAGTCGATTTGCCAACACTTCATTCTTCTTGTAAGTTCGAAAATAGTCCTAACTCATTCTTTAGCCTCAATAAACATGACCGATATAAACATATTTTGATCTTGGTAGAAGCATAGCATCATAGTTACACGCAGCAACTAACTAGAAAATATTCGCAGGCAAGGTATTTTGTGGTACAAATGGAATTAAGATTTCAGGAAAAGTATAGACCTTTATCACAAGAGCAAAATAAATTGATAAAATTAGACCGCGATAAAAATGAACCATTGAAAAAAATGAAATATTCTTTCATTACTATTATCAAATCTCTAATTGCAGGAAAATGCTATCACACTCTTGTACATTGAAATTGAAACGAAAAACTAAATGACATACTCGTAGGTTGCTTCAACTTGGATCAACTGCTATTTCAAAGGCATTTTAATATTTATTTGACACTTCAATGGGGTAGAAAAGATCATCTTCAATTTTTTAAATAAATTCATGTACACTGCCTCTGTAGATGATGAAAATTTGTTAGTTTCAATATCGATATAGAGTTTTCATTAAATTTTCAAGAATCCTTTGAGAAACTGAGACATCAAAAACCGACAAATGTTACTTTTAAGCACAGTTGGTTGACTTTGCACTATATTTGTAAAACAATTAAAGACTTGCCATTCTTTCATAGTGTATGCACACAGACTATGTGTAGAACCAACAGCTAAAAGAGTTACATAATGAACAAAAATAAGCTCTTAGTAATTTCTTTGTCTGGAGAATTTCTAAATCTGTGCAGATTTATTCTTCAAAGAGAAATATTTTCATCTGATCTAAATAATAACTTTGAAATTTTGTGTTGAATTAGAAAAGAAAACTGTTTCTTAGTTTGCAATTGTCTTCTCATGAATGTAACGATAATATTTCAAGTTCTACTTATTTTATATGAAACCTAGTACTTATTCTTCATTGATCAGGTATCACTCAATAAACATTGATCGAAAGCCGCCATGTTTTCATCTAACAAAATTCGATTAAATGAATAGATGGGATGAGGGATTAGTTGTGGATGAACTCATTAGCAATGGTTCTGTTTGAAAAACGTTCTAAATATTGACAATGAATGTTGATCTGATAAAACTAAATAATATACGAATGGAATAATAAAAAATAGTCCAGTCTCTTTAGCTTTTCAANGACTCTCTCCCTGCCAAATCTCTCCCCCACCGACCGGGGGGGGGCGGTGGGGAAACACCACGACCCACACCCCCCCCCCCCCCCCACACACACACACCCACACCCACACCCACCCACACCCACACCCTGCTATCCGGGCAGTTGTCCTGAGCCAATTAGACTAGAAGGGGCATCTTAATCATGGTTTAGCGTTAGTATGATCCATCACTAACGCTAACAACTGCACTATAGATACAAACACTTAATGACTTTTCTTCACTAATCAATAATTTATGAAGTTATAAAATGATGTAAAACCCATGTGATGTTGATCAGACTTTGTATTATTTCAAAGATTCAAATATAAACAGATGCATAGGCGGCGGAGCCTGTAGGCTTGAGCCTTACCTGGATTGGATACTATCAGGCTTTGCAATTTGTTTGCTGTCGAATTTGCCTCTGCTCGATGAAGTGAACATTGTTTTAGTGCCGATAGTAGAACTTGTTGCATGATTTTCTGTACATTGTAATAAAAAAAAAAGAAATGCAACGGGAATGAAAGCCATCTATTACATCGTTGTAGTCCTTAGTGACTTCATTTATATTGTTTACACTAACGAGGGAACATTCCCAACTGTCATATCGATTTTGAGTCAAGCGTATGCGCATCATGTAGGCCATAATGATCTATGAATACTCTGAAAAAAGTTCGTGCTGGTAGCTTATTACTGTCGGGATATTGCATTTTTACTGTATGTTTAAGGAAAAAAGCCGTGGTCCCCTCAGGAACACTAGAAAAACTGAGTTTAGAATTTCGACTTGAAACTTTGCATAGAGACAGGCGTCAATGACTATAGTTTATTGTGAAAGTTTCAGATCTTTTGACAACTCCTAGTCTAAAATAAGAACATCGAAATCTGCTAGTGTATATGAGCGATTTTACCATAGCTGTATCTTACGATAGGAAGAACGAAAAGATCTGAAACTTTCACAATAAACTATTCTCAGTGAGGCCTATCTCTATGTAAAGTTTCAAGTCGAAATTCGAAACTCAGTTTTTCTAGTGTTCCTGAGGGGGACCACAACTTTTTTTCTGAAACATACAGTAAAATTGTAATATCTCGGCAGTAATAAGCTAGCAGCACGAACTTTTTTCAGAGTATTTATAAATCATTAGAACCTATATGTTGCGCATACGCTCGTCTCAAAAGCGATGTGACAGTTGGGAATGTTCCCTCGCAAGTCATGTGTAAACTAGACCAATCATAGAGTTATGCGCTCAAAATGCAATAGAACTAGCTATATCCCAACATTTCTCTTTTATAATATCAATATTTCAGTAGTATCAAACTTAAAACTTGAATTCAATGGAAATTTAAGTTTCAGTTAAAATTTCAAGTTTCAAACTGACAGTACCCGTGCGATGTGTCTGTGAAGATGTATGAGTCCATCTTGATGAAACTCCTTTCGCCGCAGTCGCACCAGCTGCGATGATATGTGTGTGTACATGTGTCTGAGTCGGGATTCTTCAGAGTGCTATCGGTTTGAAAGTTGAAAGTTGAAATTTCAATTGAATTGAAGTTTCAAGTTTGACATATATGCTAAGTTTATTGTAATCTATGTGAAGATTACATGTAAAAGTTTTCTAGAGTAATCAATAGCCTTACACTGAGCCTTACCACATTTCAAAACGTTCCGCCGCCCCTGAACAGATGCTAGTAGTATTGACAATCAATCATCAACATAGGTTCATCTTGTTTTCATATCTTCAACCAGTGACACACCAATATTAATGTATTGATAACTATTCACTAAAAACAGAATAAATGATATCTTAGAATTTCTAAGATAGTGCATAAGAGAATTAATTTTATATTACATATAATTGATAGATTTGTCAGAATATCTCGAAAATGAGATTGAACCGATGTGAATTTCAAATCACTTAGTCTAATAGTAATACAGACTAACATATTTCAATAATTCACGATATCGATGATCAACCAATCAGATTTGTTTCATCTCTCCAGAGAGAATGAAATGAAAACCAGTATATATAGAAAAAAAAAATGTTTTGTACAAAACTTGATTCTTTTAATATTGACTATATTTAATGAAAAAATATTTTTCATAAATTAGATATGGAGATATGTATCCAATAACAGTAATTGGTCGAATACTTGCTTGTATATGTGCTTATTTTGGTGTTGCAACAAGTGGTATACTTGTATCTATACTTGTTGATCGTTATCAACGTGTTTATAGTCGAAAAAAAATTTTTCCTGAACAAATTATATCAGCAGCTGATCCAACCGAACGTGAACATGAAGAAAAACAAGATTTCATAAATAGAAAATTAACTGAATCTAATAGACTGTTGTCAAATAAACAAATTGCACCACAGACATCGGCACCTTCAATAACTTCACCAACATGCTATAGAAATTTTTCAAAATGTAAATCTATAGCATCTCGCGTTCGATTTTTTATTTCATACACTGAAAATCAAACAGATGATCAATCAATGTCGCGAACACCCGATGATTCTTTGAACGAATTAAAACAAGCAGTAGAAAATAGTGGCGAACAGGTTGATTTCAAATTAATTCGTTCTAATACAGTTCCTTTAAATTCCAAAATAACAACTTCAGATGAACCATTTCTTAATTCTAAAGACTAAATATTCTAAAAAAAAAATTTGAACTTTCTTTCTATTTACGTATCATGCTTTATTTTTGTTTTTGGGCTTAATTATCTAATCTTATTGATGAAATTTGTATTAAAAGCATTGATATAATCAGTAAAACATTCACAAATGCATATCTATGAAATTTTTCAATCGGACAACATATTTAGACTAACAAGAGAAGCTCTTTTCTAACTGATAATTCTCGTTCGATTTCATATTTTGTTCATTGTTAGAGTCCATGACAAAGATAAAAATTCTGTAAGAATTTATATTATTAGCTCTGTCTTCTTGACTTGTAGTCATTTTATTGAAATTTCAATCGATTACAAGATATTATGAGGAAAATTCAATCAAAGAATTTTACTCCTGAAATGTAACCGAAAATAAATTTCATGATTTTCATAATATTCTGGAAGTTTAAGCAGCAGAGGATAATTTTCTGTTGAGATACTAAAGTTGCATATCCGTTGGTTTATCGCACAAAGTTTGAACAAATCTGGTTTTTATTTGAGTACACAATATTTGGCAAGAAGCCATCGATTTCTGCTGAAACTTTTCAAGATATGATAAGGATCATGAGGGTTATTTTTGAATAAAACTTCAGACTAAAATTTCTTGATTTAGTTCTCTTCATCATAATTTTAAATTTTAAAACAAAGACTGTTTTGTACAATAAACTCACTCAAATATGTTGTAGCTGTTTTAAACTGACAAAAACCTTAAGAAAATGTCATTCTTGTTATTTGTTGAAAAATTACATATGTGAATTACTGAAATATCGATTATATTGAATTAGTCTTTAAAAAATGGAACAAAAAAAATCAAGCTGTATCAATTATCCCATGGTCAACAATATTTTGTGTCAAATTAGAATAATTTGCAGAATTTGTATGATATTCAGATTTAATACTATGACATAATATATGACATACTCTAGATTTTTATTACAGATGATAATAAATATAACAAATAATAAATAAAAATGCTTGTTGATGACTAAAGTTCAACTTGAGAAAAGTACTGAAAACGCTTTTGTGCACATTTTTTCAGTAATTTCATTATTAAGAAGTCTCTCATGTAATATTTTTGCCTATGATAGAACGATTCCTATAATATACTACTTGCACTAAAACTTCATGTGATAACATTTGATTTTATCTTATAAAAGTTTTTCAATTTCATTATAATGATACATAATACGTAAATTAAGAAAATCCGAAGTAGATGATAATTGCCTTCGAAGAATAATTGATCGTAAGAGAAATGATCAATCTCCTCATTTTCAGCATTTTTTTTTGTCTTATTTCTGTTCGTCGATTATTTAGTTATTTTAATTATTGTTTCGTTTTTTATTAAACTAGTACTATTATGATTATAATTCTAATCATTCATTTAATTAACAAATAAGACTGTTGTATACAATATATATATATATATATATTTTTTTCAACAAATCTCGATATGCTCTTATGTATGTCGATCACTATTGAAACACTGCTATTGATTATTCTTGAAAGCTATACAGTTTAATTAGTTCATAATTATAGTGTTTTCCATATGATGACTGTGACAAATCAAAACATCATTAACAGTCATTGATGATATGCCTCATATGATAGAATATCTACACAAAATTAAAAACTGTACTATTTAGAACACTCAAAAGTGTATTTCAATCATTGAAATTTCAAGGAAAATTGTGAAATATTCTCAAAAAGTCTAAAACTCGTTTTTAATATCATTCGGTGCTTTTCTTCTATGGTCAAGGAACGTCGCGTGTTTCAGTCTGGTTACGACTATCAAACACATTGATCAATATTTCCATCGTCATACTTTCACTGAAGTTGCTATGGAAGGAAAATCGAAAAACTTCGGCTTGTAACTTACATGATATTATTCTCTATGGTCAAACATGATCATATTAGAGAATGTGATATAATTTAAGAAGATATAAATCTACGTAGTAAGTATCTCATCTGATCTACTTAAATTCAAGTCATTGAGTTTATTTGTTGACATTCGATTCCTCGATAGAAAGATTTAACAACAGTAATAACAAAATGCTGCATATTGAGAGAAAATTTCTTAAGATATTCTAGAAAATCTAATTTTATTTTTGAAAAATTATTCTATCTCAATTAGTACAACTATGATAGTTCGAGTTATTGAAACAAATTCAAGGTATTGTCATTACCTTGATCAAATGCACAAATAACGGTCACAAACTTTCCTGTTTACGAAAAAGCTCACAAACATCGTTTTCCAAGTTAATTAAAGTTTTACAGAAGAATTTTTGCGTTATATCAGCATTAAATAAAGATATCTTATGTGTACTGAAAGTTTACTTGAAAACTTGAATATGTATTTGGGCAAATCCTAGTCTAACTGTATTCGTGACATAAATGACTAAAAGTATATTTTCTGGATAAGATGAAAGACAATAATTTAATTTACTGTTCAATTCTAATAACACTAGACAGTGAACAATATAGATCGATGTGAAGCTACCACGATGACCAATCATATTCTTCAATCAATCAACCAATCATAGAAAAAGCAGAAAATACCTACAACAGTCCAGAAAATACTGACACATAATCCTTAGTTACCACGTAATACTCGTTAAGAAAAACAACAGACAAACACCCTACTAGCTTACTAACCTTTCCGAATTCGAAGTATATACCAAAAATTCAACAATATATAAATAACACCATAAAACTCACCAAAAAAATTCTATCATCATTCCAACACGTTTTTCGTGGAATCTTAGCCCTATGTATATCTTCCAAAGGGTATTTTGTACTGTTCACCTCATAGCCGAAAGAAACCAAGCATATCGTTTGATTCACAAATGAAAGCTCTATCATATACACCATGTCTTCTCTCTCGGCCATATGTTTCACAAAGGAAAAAATGTTCAATAGTATATGGTTAGTCTTGTATATATTTTCCAAAGGGTACTTTGTAGTGTCCACCACATCGCCGAGAGAGAACTACCATATCATTCGATTCAGAATTGACTGATCTATCCTATAGGCCATGTCTTTTCTCTCGGCAATGAGTCTCACTACATCAAAAATATGAAATAATGTATGGTCACTACAATTACCAATTTTCAATTGGTACAATAGGGTGTCCACCCCATCGCCGAGAGAGAACTATCATATCATTCGATTGAGAATTGAATGATCTATCATATAGACCATGTCTTCACTCTCGGCAATGAGTCTCACTACATGAAAAACATGAAATACCGCATAGCCACTAAAATGACCAATTTGCTAATGGTACTGTGGACTGTTCACCCCATCGCCGAGAGAGAACTATCATATCATTCGATGCGGAATTTAATGGTCTATTATATAGAGCATGTCGTTTCTCTCGGCAAGGAATCTCACTGCATGAAAAATATGAAATAATGCATGGGTACTGGTGTGACCGATTTGCTATGAAAATTTTATAAGCGATAAAAGGGCTGTGCGGATTTATGTAATTGGATACGTATTGAGATTTGATTGTTACTATATCTTTACTTTTCACATTCTTCAATGGTAAGATCAATCCAAACTCCGTTTGTCGTGGAAATTAACGTGCATAATTCTTTACTTTAATTTGTCGAATTTCAAAAGGAGATGACCATCATTGATGGGAGCACTGTGATCTCATGCTTAATACCTTGAACGTACACTAGTCAGAGATTATAGAAGTTATTGAATTAGCTTTGATAGCTTAATATATGGGAACGTTAATAAAATGAATATATTTTCTGAAGTTTGCGAATGGGATATTACATTTGGGTAACATAAATCTCATTTAATTTATCTCATTATATTTTTCTACATATAATTAACAAGAAATGACTCCACTATCAAGTGAAAGTGGTCTTATTCAAAATTTTTACTAAAATAATTACTAATCAACCGAAACTTCGCGTTTTTATAGAAAACCGTAATAGCACGCCTGCAAGTGCGTACTTTGTAGTGAATCCTTTTTTATTTGCAGAGAAACACGATAATTATAGTATTTAGTTTGAAGGAATTGAATATCCTTCTCTCATACAATGATTTCGTAACACGTAATGATTGGAACACGATGTAAAATCTCACATGCTATTTTATTTAGCGTAGAGAATGTTATCTTTTCTTTTGCCATGCTACACATTAAAAAATTCTATGAGAGAATAGGAGAGACGACAATGCCAGCAGTATTAGAGAACTTGTTTACATATATATCGGGCATGCGTAAAACGGTTTAAAAATGGCCAACTTTTGCCTGTTCGTATCTCTGTCCAGCTTTTAAACCTAAAATTGAAACTATCATTTAGTTATATATATTTTTTTTTGGTTTTAAATCCTGGTGTTCTAACAGATTTACAGTAGATATTAATCTGTAGTTCTTAGCCAAGTTGCTATAATAATATGAATTAAATAAACTTCAAGTTGGTAATAATCAGTTGATTTTTGAAAACTGATACAATCAATTATTTTTAATCATCAATAATAATATCTTTTTTTATGAAAGAAAGTCCTATCTTTAAAACTAATCTATAGTTTCTGTGGAGTTGCACATTTCCATGTTTTTTCCAAAAAAAATATTCAATATTTTTAGTAGAAAATTGAAAGATCCGTGCTTTTTTTGAGGATAGCAAGAAACTCTAGAAATTATGCACAAAAATAATTTCGTAGAAAAAATAATACACTTTTTCTCATGTTTTCGATAATACAATATCCGTATGTATAGCAATGATATATGCTACGGTTACTATGTAGTACCATGTCCATGGGTTTCTCCTTCATAGTGGTATTTTTTCATTTGTCGCTTTCTGATTGGTTTTCATTTTGACGTGTCATAACATTCCACTGGTCGTGCTCAATGACCGTGTTGTGGTAGCTTCACACAGATTTTTTGTCGACAGATATTTCGTCGACAAGAAGTTGTGAAGAAGAACCAACGTTAAGAAGCACTACCCTACTTCTTTTAACTGACCAAGCAGATACAACAGAAAACAACAAGGATGTGAGTTTAGATACAGATATGGTAGCAGATGCAAGTGTGTATGGGTATAGGCGTAGGTGTGGACATGAGTGCAGAATAAAGGTACGAGAGTCCAGAGTAAGTTCTAAACTGATGATCTGTTGCGAAAAATGAGCTGATCTAAACTGTTCTAACGGCTCAGCTCGTGTTGTGAGCTGGTTAGAGGAAGCCCAGTAACGGGACGGAGGTGTTCGGAGCTCTTTGTTGTTCTCTCTTGAGACCAAGATGCCAGCAGCTCAGCCAACTATGCTAGAAGCATTCATTGGGATACTAAAAGGCCGCGTATGATGCTAGAGTCCTTCCCCCAGACACTCTGAATGGTCTAGTATGCTCGAGATCACCTGGGATGTTGACAGCGTCAACTGGGTTGCTAGCAGCATAACTACGGATCCTTTATCATCAAAGATTATGCTTATTTTATCCTATCTGATCCAATATGATATTAGGCAGTCCTTAGCATCCCAGGTAATTCTTTAATCGTCCCAGACGGTTCTGTAGAACTCATAGATGGTGCTTCCAGCATTCTAGGTTATACTTTTCGCACTAAAGATGGAGCTGCTAACACTACAGTGCCAAGATGAAACAGTAAAGGTCTCATGACACCTAAGTTCCATTACTAAATTTTCTGCGAACTGATCGTGATGCGAGCAGAGTTGTTATAAAGTTCAGTTCAGTTCAGTTCAGTTCTTACGAACTGTTCGAGCAGTACTTTTGATCTAAACTGATCTTTTGGAATAGCGAATAAGCTTATTTGACTTGAGTTCATGAGCTGGAACTATTTTAGATCTATGGCAGTAGCAGGTGAAGGTGCGCGGACAGGTGCAGATATATGGATGTAGATCACGGTGAAACTGTAAATTTGATTATCATTTTGGTGATGAAACATTCTTTATCGGTGACGCGCACCCAGATTCATGCGAGGAAAACTTTTGGTTTTTTTAGGTAAAGTAAAATCTTTTTCTAAGTTGTTACATTGTAAGAACAAAGTAGTTCGTAAGGGAGAGAATAAATACATTGTCGACGAATGATATGCAATTCGCAACTTCACCAAAAAAAGAAAAAAATTCTGTTCGAAATCTAGAGATAAAAAAAGACAGCATTTTCTGATAATCGAATATCATTAGAAAAGAACTATTATCTTTTGGAGAATTTAAATATTGGGTATTTTGTGATTAATATAATGAAACTAAAGAAGACATGTGAGTTCCACATTTCAGCCCCGAAGTGGCTGCACTAACAAGCTTTTTCTTTATGATTAAAAGTATCTAGTATATACTAGTGAATGTGTTGAGAAAAAAAAAATACATGTAAGAATATTCAGCTGCCAATATGTCAGATTGATCATGAAAATATTGCACAAAGAATATCGATATGAAAAATGGTCTCACAATGTTTTAGAAAATTCTGTCTAGTGATGAATATTCTCTATTGTATGAGTTAATGTTAACATTCAAACAGAGATCAAACATAAGTCTAGAGATAAGAAGGAAAAAATTAATAAAGTATCATTTCTTTTTTGGTTAATAACTGTAAATGATAAACAATCTAAGTGTTTCATAACATTAATAATATCATTCACATTCACCTAGATTATCAGTACGACACGGAATTGAAATTGTTTTGGCTTGTTTCAGTCTTGCTCTTAGGTGAATATTAAATTGAATGCACATATATTTATCATTCAAATTCGTATAAATTCTTGCTTAATATCTATTAAGTGTGATTTCAAATATTAGATAGTTGTTGTTTTACTCAATGTGAAAATATATTGATCTGCTTTTGTACATAGGTTTTTCTTTTTATGAACATATAAATGAAGTACATGTTGATTTTGATTCAACTAAATCTAGTGACAATGAAGCAGTTGTAGTCATGACAATAGAATTTTAGTTATATAATAGTTTTTCGTCTGACTTTTTTACTTAATTTGTATCAGATATTACCAAGAGGGGAAAAGAGAGACTTCAGTACTTCACGTACTTCACGTACTTCACCGTACTTCACTCGTACTTCACTCGTACTTCACCCGTACTTCTAAATTGTGCTTGAAGTACCGTGAAATTCGAGTGAAGTACAGGGAATTGCGAGTGATTACCGAGGAAGTACAAGTGAAGTACGGTGAAGTCTCACTTTTCCCCCCTTGGATATTACTCATCACCATTACTACTGATTAAAAATCTACATTAGTAGACTTATTAGAAAACCAACTATGAACTATATGTGGTTAGAGTTATTATTTACTAGGAATATCACTTTTTTTCGATGTTTTTTCATTTTACGATTTATTTTTCGACATTTTCTCAGCATATCATATGCTACGGAAACTTTTGAGTTATTGTTTGCTACTCCAAGAGTACCCTACTGCTGCAATAGTGTCTCGTAAATGAATACTTGAAGATACTAGTACATACTACATCTCGTTACTCCGCTGGGAAAATTTCAGTGTGTTCAAGATCGAATTTCACTTTTAATTTTCTTTTATATTGCATTTTTCGAGTGTAATATTGCTCAAAAATATAAATCTGACGATTAACACTTATCGTATCACAGAGTTGAATAAACCTAACAATAATTTTGAAACCAAAAATTTACAATTAGTGCCTATGGTTGATTGCAATATCAATACACTAACGCTTTATATTTTTAAACGGATGAGATGTTTAATTTTTCATAAGAGCGTATATTTGACGTAAAAAATACTTTATCCGGCATGTTTAGATTGTAATTTGATTAACAACCGAAGCAAATCGTTGATATTCTATAGTTTCTATGAAATTCTTTTTAAAAGATCGATAACAGTAAACAACAATCGACGAATCATTTTAAAGATACTTTGTTTTTTTATTATTCATTTATAATTGTTTGACAAACTGTTTCATCACGTCTGAGTATCATACTGATATTAAAAAAATAATAATAACCAAAATTTATTATGAGTAAAACTTGATCTTTTATTAAAATAAATCTTTATTGAAAACTCATATTATATAGACTTAATGTATATCGGTGGTAAACATTATGAAAAAATCTTGATCTTTGATTACTCTTTGTTATTAATAATTGAGTCAGATAATTTTGTTCTATTAGTAGTATTAATTTCTTTTTTGTTAATCATTATTTAATATGAAAAATCTCAAAAAATCGTCGAAGTACACAAACAAAAAGAGAACAACATAAAAAAGTCATTTTTAGTAATTATAAGGTCGACTTCGTTTCGAAAATCGACCATATCCACCAGCACCTCGATAATTATTTGAATATCCACCACGATTATTATTTCATGTAGATTGATAGGATGATGCCGGTGGTGGACCAGTCGTTGGAGATGATGTTGAAGAATAAAATGTATTATCATATTGTCTTTTATTATTGAATGATGATGAAGAATTATCTTGAGTCGATGATAATGTTGATGAATCAGGTGAGAAACTAAAAGCACTACCACTCGGACTTGAACTAAAAAAATGAATACTATTCAATTATTTTTTAATGTATTTTTATGTTTTCTTACGTATTTTGTGGTCGATATGATTGTTGCTGTTGTGGTGTATAATTTCCTCGATAATTATATCTATTAAAAGGACGATTACGTCCACCATGAAATGATCTTTGATTATATCCTCGATTTGATGGAAATAATTCATTTGGACGATATTCAGATGAAGGTTGACTTGACAAAAAAAAATAGTTTAATTTTTTTATTTTGTATATAAGAATAACAAAAAAAAATTGATTTCTTACTTAAAATTTGAATTAGTAGATTCTGTTGTATTATTATTTTCATTAATTTTTTCACATAAAATATGTTCAAGTTGTTGATCCGATAAAAGACGAATTAAATTACATAATTTTTCAACTGTTGGTGGACGATTAATAATATCATTGGGTTCTTGTGTACATCGTATGATTAATGCTTCTATAGCCGGTCGAAGTGAAACAATTTTTTATGCTAATTCAATATTCATATTTAATAAAATCCTAAATTAATTCATATATATATATGTATATAATTAAAACATATAAATACAAACCAATTATCAAGACAAACAAGATTCGATTCAACAACATCAACTTGATAAGAAGCAAATAATAATAATTGAACTGGTGTTGACATTGACATTTGTTTAGCAGATACAGCTCGTGTTTTTATCTTAAGTTTAAAAAACAAAAACACAATATTTTCATTAAATTAAAATTTAAAATTTTTATTTTACTTTTTCCGTAAAAACAAAAAATGGTGATGGAAATATTGATATTTCTCGTCCACAATTAACAGAATTTTTATGTATTAATGCTTCTTTACCTTCAGTTGTTAATAATTTTCTTTTTGATATATGAAAACAAACATTTGGATAAAGAGCATAACAAAGAAGTGATATCACCTTTGAATTAAAAACAAACAATATTAGAATTAATTTACATTAAATAGTTGTTTTTAGTTTTTGTAAATACAATATCTAATTTGGAATGTGGTTGTTCAACATCAAACCATTGAGATGATAAACATTCTTCAGGAAAACTTGACATTAACATTATATCTCGAAGTTGATTCTAAATTAGCAAATTAATTTAACTTATTATTGAGAAATTTAAATTCTATTACTCTTGCTTCATAAGTCATTCGCATTGTTGATAAATTCAGACATTTACGATCACAATAATCCATTTCACCACGTTCACCATTACGATTTCTACAATAAAAGAAAAAGAAGTTCTTTGATTAAATAAAATAATTATTTCCATAAAAAAAAATACTTTTCTCTTTCATATTGTTGAAATGCATTAAGTAAAGCAACATGATCAGAAAAACGATTTCCAGCAAGATTTCGATGCATATGCCGTAAATGTTTTCCATCATGTAGAAATGGTTCAGGAAAACTAGTTGCTGATGCTATTGTACAAGCGGCATCACCAACACTAAAACATTTTTTTTTAAAATTTAATTGACTGTTGACTATAAATTTATTGTCAAAGGTATGCCTTTTAAGTATATTTACATTTGAAATAAATCATGTTTATTATTGACATAAGATATTTAAGAAAGAAAAAGGTTTTAGTTTTTTTTTCTTCTAATAGAATACGTTTAAGATATGGCAAAATTTCTTATTTCTTTTCTCTATGGTAAATATTACGAAGTAAAAATCAATGAAAACCCAATAACATTAGAAAGTTTTCGAAAAACAATCGAAAATGTTCTTCCACCATGTCGAGAAATTGATGATTATTTTTATGTTGTTAGTGGTAAACCTCCACATAAATTAAATGTTAATAATGAAGAAGAATTTATATCTCAAAAAGTGGGGTGGTTGTGGTGATTGCATAAATTATAGATACTCATATTTTTTTCAAGTTCAATATCTTGTGTTTTAACAGCTTGTCCAATTCGTTGTTGAAATAATTGTCGAGTATATTTTAATGTTCTTGTACTCCATTGACGTAATGTATCAAATGTATTTGTCGAATTACGTGTTTTATTTTGAGGAATTGAAAGAACTGGTACATCTATTTAAATATGTATTATTTTTGTTTATTTCAAAACAAAAAAAATAATTAAAATAAATATCAAATCAGGAGATTGAGATATATCAGATAAACTAACATAAATATTTGGTGTTGATGGTGATTCATTTGGAATAACAGTTGATTTTATATTAGGAAAACATGATATTCGTGATGGTACATTTGCTATTGGACTTGACATTGTTTTAAATTTTATTTAAAATATAAAGATAAATGAATAAAGATGATGTTCTATCTATCGATCGATTGATTTAATGCGTAGATTTTTATAGATAGAACGAAAAAATTAATGGACAAATCGTTTAAATCAATCAGAGAAAATATTTGCTTTGCTTTCGGATATTCGTGACATCTAGTAATTCAAGTAAAATATTGTCTTCTTAATTTAAAAGATAAGTTAATTGTTATCATCATTTCGATAAATGGAGAGTAAATCTTTTTTCCGTGTACTATTTAAGATATATTAGTCATCTTATATTCACAGTCTATTTAGTATATAAATGATTTATCTATTAAATTCTTTTCCTATTCTGTTTAAAAACAACATAAATAGAGGATCAAACATCTTTGTTTTTTTTTCTTTATTGGTTTAATCGATATATAAGAATATTAAAGCTTATGAAAAAGCTAAATGATTTTTTTCTTTGTTTTTTAAATATAAATAAGGTTGATTGAATCAATTGTAGAATTGAATATGATGCATATCGATATGATTATGAAAGAGTATTAGTCCAAGGTCACACCGGTGGTGTAACATTATCAAATTCAGAAGAACATATTGGAAATCAATATCATCATTTTAAAGAATGTTCTGAAATTTTTAAAATTCGATGTCTCAGTGTTAAATTACGATTATTTGATGATAATTGAGTTTGTATTTTGATTTCAACGTATTTTCTTATATTATCTATTGAGATTTATTTTTCATTGATACAACAATAAATGAATTTATGAAAATTATAAGTTTGAATGAAATATTTCAATCTAAATAAAAAATAAAAGCGATTTATGCCTATCAATATATTATTTTATTTCGTCTTCGTTTTTTTTTTATCAATTTTAGATTAAATCCATGAGTTCCACCACTTCAAAACCAATAAATATCGTGCTTTCATTAGACGCACTACAATTGAGAAAAACAACTTCGTGTGGAGATGTATGTACTTTAACATCGAATGAATTGCCTATTCTTAAAAATTTATCTATCCAACGTCTTGCTTTACAAGTAACTTGCAAAAACAAGACTTTTTTTTTCTTATAGTCTGGTTCAGCTTTAATTACCATTGTTGGTAATCAAGGTGAATATAATACATTTGGTATTACTGTAGGTCAAGCTTTTTTTGTTCCATCTGGTTATGCTCACCACGTTGAGAATTTGCATAAAGATGCAATCAGTGAATTTATTATTGTCTTATCGCACGAACTACCAGAAGAATTTAATTTTTCAATGACATTCGGCTCTATGTATAAAACATTAAATTCATTAACTACGATAAGAAAGTTTATTTATTTATTTGTAGGTCTGATAAAGTACTTGGTAATACATTTCGATTACCTGATAGTGCATTTAAAGATGTAATCAAACTCAAACGTGGTGAACCAACAGTTATTGGAGAAATGAAACAAATAACAAACGTTGCTAATGATCGAGTTTTTACAAATTCAAATAAATATAAATTCGATTTTGAACGACAGGCATTTACATTACCTTTTCCTGAAGGATCAATTAAAATAGCATCACACAAACATTGGCCAATAATTAAAAACAGTAAATAAAAAATAGCTAAATATAGATAATAATGTTTATTATAATTTTTAGTTTCAATGTCATCGCTTTGTATTTCAAGAGAAAGTATACGTGAGCCGCATTGGCGTCCTGAAGCAGCTGAAATTGGTTTTGTTGTTAATGGTTATGCACGTATAAGTATTCTTTTACCTAATGATGATCATCAATTACATACATTTTCACTACAAAGTAATGATGTTTATTTTATACCACCTGGTTATCCACATTACATTGAAAATATTGGAGATAAAGATGTAAAAATTTTAATGTTTTTTGATCAATCAAATGCTGACGATATTGGTTATAAAGGTGGTTTTTTAGCTTATTCAAGAGAAGTTCTTAGTGCAACATTTCAATGTGATTCAAAACAATTACCAACTGTTTCATTCGATCGACAAAATTCAATTCTCAAACGTGTAAATCCGGTTGAAGATTAACATGAAGAACTTTATTTGTTGTTATTTGAAAGAACTTCTTTTTTTTCATTTCAATGAACTTTTTTTTATGATTTTAAAAGAAAATTAGTTTAGTAAAAAAAAACATTGGGTACAAACAAATTTTTTTTCTTTATCAAATAATTGCTACAGATGTCAAATGGATTAGATTTTTTGATATAAATGAAATATACACAGCCAAAAATGCCCAAATTTCTAGTTTAAATGTGCTTATAAGCAAAATACGAAATTTTTTTTTGAAATTATCCTAACATGGCTGAAGTATAAGAAAAATTTCATCATTAAAACACCAAAATTTGGACATGTTTCGACTGTGCGAAATGAATCAAAAAGAAGAAAAATATAAATTGCTTCAACACATTAATTTCACATTTTTGATTCCATGGATAGTAAAACGATCTGAAAGTTAAATTATCACATTTAGTTCCGATTAATTTAGTGAAGGATATGATACTTTTAAAACATATTAGATAGAAAAAAAAGATGGCGGTTTAGAAAAAAATCTAATACGTTTTTAAAAAAATAGTTTCGCTTGCTTAGTGTTTGAAAAGCCAAGTCACTTTAAATTCATTAAGTGTTGTTGAAAATTAGGAAATGATTCTGCATTGATATGAAGACAATTTGACATACATGGAACATAGTTGATATTTTTCGTGCTATTAACACTGTTCTTATTTTATGCAACAAAGTATTTATTCATTCAATACATCTTATAATATTCTTCTCTATATTGACACATCGACGTTTGCATAATGAAGATGATACGAAAAGAGAAAAGTAAGGTGCACGCAATGCGAATTTCGAGTAAAAATTTTCTTTTGTCGCTTTTTTAAATCATTTGATAGGGCGAGAACTGCTGATCACGAAAATCTACTTTTTAGCCATAGCAAATGCTTCCTTCTGGTCGAAAAATACGAAATACTCGAAAGGTGCCTTTTTTCGAGAAAAAACACATCTTTTTAAAAATATGCAAAATTTTCTACTTCTTTCATTTTTCGGCTTCTGAAAATATTTTTTTCAGATTCAGCATCAAAAGCTGAGTATAGACGAGTTGTTAAATCGACTCTAGACTCGAAACTCTATTGGTGGTGGCGTTTGCAATCGTATGGCGTGAGATATTTATAGGTAGATTTTGCAAAGCTATCTAGTTTTTTCACGTAAGTGATGGAGTCAAATATTTTATCTCATTCGATTCATCATATTACCCCTCACAACCCAACGGATCGTTTTTTTTCCTTTTCTTTCCTGTCTTGAGAAAAGTCGTTTTTACTGATAGCATAGCCATTTTAGGCAGTATTCAACGGTTTTCGAATTCAAATAAGACTTTTTGTCAAAAACCAAATACAGATTCGGAATCAGCATAAAAAACTGAGTCAAATGAAGTATCTTTCAAGTTAATTTGACAACTTTCATTTTTTGACACATACAGAAATTTCACGTAGGATATCTTGGAGCTGGATTCGAGTATTCCGCAACTGGATTCGCCTGTAGGTTATACCAGAACGCGAAAATGGTATACCAAGATAGATCTCGACGAGATCTATCGATTCCACGAATTACTTTTTTTTAAGACCCCCCATTCATGGAAAAAAACCAAAAATACCGACAAAAAATAAGCGAAATAACAAGCGCTTTCCGTAAACCGCAACTGGATTCGCCTATAGGTTATACCAAAACGAGAAAATGGTATACCAAGATAGACCTCGACGAGCTCTACCGAATGAACACCTTTTTGACTCGATTCGATGCTTGGATGCCCTCCGAAACGGCTGATCCTGGTCGAACTCCGGATTTTCGCGGTATTTTGCAACTGGATTCGCCTATAGGTTATACCAGAACGAGAAAATGGTATACCAAGATAGAACTCAACGAGCTCTATCGAATNGATAAAGCAAGGGAAAACTCCATTATGTAATGTTATAAGCTACTAAATACACTGTGTGGATATTTTCGACACTTTCGAAATACTGATAATTTACTGTATCAACACAGAAAAATTACTTTACAGGCTATTTCCACTCACTTCTGATTGATTTGAAATATATATCATCCCCAAATTTTGAGAAATACCCCAGGTGGATATATACCACACGCGTCCCCAAAGGGTTAATGAAAGAAAACAAAATTCCAATAGAAAATTTTAATTTTATATTAAATTTGAAATTTTCAACTTTGATCATATATGTTCATCATCAGTATAGAAGCAAAAAAAAAGTATATGAAAGTGGAATGATTCATGACCATGAAACAAAACAAGTAACCTTGTGATGTAACCACAAGTAATCATATACTGAATTATTATCAATTAATTGTATATAAATCAGAAACTATAATTAATGATCATAAATCAAAATAATCTGATAACATACATTAATCATAGTTTTTGTTGCCTAAAGTACTCCCGAGGAAACATATCCAACTGTCTAACGCCGTTCGACTTCGCCTTGATGAAACTAAGAAAAGTTTAAAAGGATTTGAAGCCATGATCTGCTTTTAAGGAGTTATAGCTGTTTTAGTGAAATTTTTTACTGAGATCAAGTTATTTCTGAAAAAAGTCCGAGACAAAGAATTTCAGGCTAAAATTATTTCTAGAAGTACATTTGATAGTCCTGAAAGTTTCAACGAAAACAAACATGTCTTTCTCGAAGTTTTCAAGTAGACTCGATCACCATGTTCTCGCATGGGTAGACCATTGTGTTTTTAGATATTGAATATTTCGAGAAAGACACATTCGTTTTCTTTGAAACTTTCAAGACTATCTAATGACTATTAATTGCACCTATTGGCATAATATCAGCTGAAGATTCTTTCTTTCGAATTTTTCTGAAATAAGTTGCTTTCAGTAAAAGTTTCATTAAAACGGTTATAAATCTTAAATAGTAAACCATGAGCTATAATTCTTTTAAGATTTTCTCAGTCTCACCGAGACCTACTCGTAATCATAATTGTGAAACCGAAGAGAGTTCAACAGTTGAATATTTTCTCTTGTCAGATCTATAGTAAAACAAAAAATTTATACTTCAATATTTTCTTACTTTCATATCGAAGATCCTTTTTTGTCACTACTAATAACAGTCAAATCAATCTGGAAACTACAATAAATTCTATTCATTAGTTTAATATCAGGCAGACGATCAGTTTCGTCCTTTGAACACAAGATTTCGTCTACGTCTTCCATATAACTGACGTCAACAATTGAAGTGAAGAAATTTGTGTATTGAAAAGAATTCATTTTCATGATAACAAAGAAATATGTTTACTAATTTAGAATTGCTCTAGTTCCTGTCAGTTAAGACAAGAGAAACGTCTGGATTTTCATGTGTGAATAAAACATTTTACCCATCCTTGATCCATTAGTGTGACTATTTGTAGAATGATTACAGAAAGTAAACAAGAGCTCGCTAGAATAGTTGAGAAGGGCTTGTAGTTCCCTAGTTGGTATGAGTGTGAGTGTTGCTCTGGACCTTCTCTTTGTTCACACCGATATTCATGGAAGCAACTGTCCTAAACCCCTTTACTACGATATCAATACTATCGGAAAGTTTCACAAAAACTACTTAGATAGAAAAGTGATGGTAAAATACAGAATGGCCACTACTGATTTTTCAAAGAACCAAATCCTTAGTTTTTCAGCGCCTACAATTTCAACATAGATTTTGCTCGCATTACATTTAATGGTAGCGCAAATCATTCTCTGCAATGTTTTCTCGTTGAACTATATCAGATTTATGAAAGAACTTAGATCAAATTTTTGTGAAGTCATTCTCCTCCCAATGGCCAGTAGAGTGACCAATAAGAGTGCATCTAATCGATCTGTTCATACTATCGATAGATCGGAGACACTAATATTCTATTCCAATGTTTATTTCATCAGTAGTTCTTCTGGAAACACTATGAAGATTATAGGGTTAAAATCAACAAGCCTAAAGTACAGTAAAGATCATCATCGATTCAGCAGAGTGTATTTGAGTAAAATCTCATTTTATGCACTTAAATCATAAGCGAAACAAATTACTTGCTTTTTTTTCATATCTATATCAAACTTGATCAATCCTTAAATTATCATCTAATAAAAGCTTTATATTCATTTCTACATCACATAATAGTATTTCGTAATTTGTAAAGTATTACATAGTTATTAATGTCATTGAAATAGATAAATATGAATTTTCTTGAATTTATTTCTTAAAATATTAGAACAAACTTTTTGAAACTGTTATTATTATTATAGAAAAATAAGATATATTAATGAGAAAGGAAAGTCTAAACATATACAATGATTATTATCCTTATCACAGATTTCTAACTGCTTTGATGAAAAGAAAAAATAAATAAATAAAAAAAATTAAAAAGAAAAAGAAAGAGGAATTTAGTATTATTATTTGATTATCTTGTTTGAATCCAATGATATTTAGAGTTAGGTTTTTTTTTTTTCACATATTTTTTTGGTCTTTGGCATTTTCTTCAGCTGCATAAGCAGCATTGTAAAGTGCGTATGGTGGTGGAATATATTCTTCTGAATTACCAGTTGGATATTCATAATCATATTGATTTTGTTCAGCTTCTGCTTGTTTTTCATCGGCATTACCATCAGCAACATATCCTTCTTCATCCATTGGTTGCCATCCAGCATTATTCCAATATTGATCATAAACTTGTTGAACAAGATGTTGATTACGTTGATAGTAATAATAATAGAAAACTGTACAAGTACAACAAAGTAAAGTACCAATGGATAACAAAACAAATACGATAATCATCATAACATAAATTGCTGTACCATCGCCCCATAAATCTAAACCTGCGAAAACGGAAGTTATGGATCTACGACATTCAATAGTTCCTAATTGACACCAGCATCGTAAAGTACTTCCTCTACTTTTGATGATTGTACCTTTATAATGAATATAAAAAAATATTACTAATCATAATTAAATCAAATTTAAAACTAACCATGTGGGAATGTGATACCATTATGTTCGCATGAAGTTGATGTTGCTTCATATGCACATTGTGCACAACATTGTCCTGGTTTAGGACTTGGCGTAGAGTTATCAATACAAAATGTATTCATACAACGAAGTGTAGTGCAAACAACAGCGCGTGTTTGTGTACATTGACACAAAGCACATGCTGTATACATGAATGTATAACCAAGTGGTAAATATGTACCATTAAGAAGATGACACCAATGAGCACGTTCAAGAGATGATGGAACGCTGGTGCTATCTGTAGTACTAGGAGTAGTCGTTTCTAATTCAAACGTGGTTGTAGTAGAACTTGATTCAGATGTTTCTACTGTCGTACTCCTAGTTGTTGATTGTGTAGTACTGCTGGGTGGTGTAGTAGTCCGACAGAAGGATACATATGAAGCGAACAGATTATTTTGGCAAAGCCATTGATAAATATCGTTAGTGTCGATCTCTTCAAAGCTATCCCAGTTGTCCATATGATGTTTTGTACCATCAGCACCTAGAATTAGTGCCATAAACATTACTGTAACTATTGCTTTTGATAGCCAAGTCATATTTTTTTGTTTGTAATAGGCAAGCAAATGCGTTTGTGTTCGTATGTTTTATGTTATATGATAATGCACTAATAAAAAATAAACACCAGTCGTCGTTGTCGTCTATTTTTCTTTCTTTTTTTTTTTTTTTTTTTGCTTCACTCCTAGTCGGTGTAATAGTATTCGTTCACTATTCGGTTTTTTTTTTTTTTTCGTTGTTGCTTCTTCTCTCTCTATATATATTTTTATTATTTTCTCTATCTATCATTATGCATCCAATCGAGCTGTGTGGACGATCATGACTACGCTTTAAAATATTTTGTGTAGGCATTTTTTTTCTTCTTATACTGACACATGGAAGAAATAAATGATTTTTTTCATACGAATGTCTGTTAGCTCTTTTTCTTGCCTTTTTTCCTCGTTATATAGTCACGCTTGAATGCTCTGAGTATACACACGCATTCATCTATGCGTCTATAAATATATATATATGATTACTTTTATACTCCTTTGAGACTTTTGATACGTAAACATAACACAATAAGTAATTATAAATATGAAATACAAAATATAAAAGACGAAAAAAAATCGTGTTTATTTAAACGAATTTTCAATCTTATAAGTGAGAACAGAAAAAAAAAAGTCAGATAGAGTAACAAATATATCACCGGGGTGTCTTTATTATATTGATTGACCATTAATTTTCATATAATAAATCATAATGACCAGGTCGATAAAGCATTGTAATCATTGGTTTGAATGTTTCCGTTATTTCCTCATCTGTAGATGCAAAATCATGTATAGTTAATGATGATTGTTGACTTCGATCCATATAAATAACACGTAATGGTACAACAGCTGCTTTAGTTAATGCTATTATATGTATATTATCAGATTCACGTGCCATGGGTTCAACTTCCTTTATAAATGAAAATCTTATTTTGATAAATATATGAATACTAATAAAGTAAAGCATACAATACTACAAAATTGTTTTACACTTTTTCCATCTTCAATAAAATTTTCAAAAAACTCACGATTGATTTGAAGATAACCAGATGTAAATAATCTATTATATATTTAAAAAACAAAATCTTATTTTTATATTCGAATTTATAAAAAGAAAGATAATGTCTTACCGTAAATAAGCAACAAAATAATCTGAATATGATGGTGCACAAAAATTTTCTATTAAACATTGTTCACTTCCTTCTTTATATATATTATCAATAACTTCAATAACAACATCTCGTACATCTTCAAGAGTAAAATCTAAATAACCTAATTTGACAAGTTGATCTTTTAGATCATATGTTAATTGACGAAATCGTTCGAGTTCTTTTTTATTATTTAAATTTTGCTCAAGATAACCAAATGCAAATGCCCGATAAAAACAATTTCCATCACCTCGTGTACGTCGCATATATTTATATTTTTTCATTAATTCCTTTTTATTTTAAATATAAAAAATAAAAATTCAAATTTATTTTCATTAAACTTTCTTACCGCTACTTTATCTTGATAAATTTTATCATCTGATGCATATTCATTTTGTAAATAAGCTGTAGGAATTTTATCACTTACTAATGGTTGATTTTCAGCTATCTTGAAAACAACAAAAAAAAATTAAATAGAAAAATGATGATTAATTTAAATACTTCTTTTTCTATTTCATTTTGTAGGAGCTGAGTTTGTTGTTCCATATCCACATCTAAATAGATAGTTTTATTTCTTTTGTAGAAAATTTGACTTGCTTATTGATTAACTTACCATGCGATGTATAATTGTAGTCACTGGCATCTATATTATCACTAGCTGAAACACCGGTTTTCTCATTTTCAGTTGCCATAAATAATCAATTGAATTTAGAAATAAGACTTCCGAATTAGTTCTGGAATGAGAAAATGATATAAGGGAAGAAATAACATGAATTCATTTATTTGTTTATTGTAGCCAATAGAAATAAATTAGAGATTAGATGTCACTGCAGAAAAATGCAGCTATGTTTTCAATAGTAAGTACGTGAAGCAGATTACTTGTAGCACTGATGATTCACAGCAGCAGCTGTCGGGTCCGATGTAGATCTGTCCAAGAAAGAATTTCTAAATCTACACGCAATAAACAGGAAATTTTGTACTACAGTGGGCGTCATAAGTCTCGCCCCACTTTTGTATTTTGAGTCGTCCATTTGAACTAAACAACGTTGATTTAATTTGATTATATATTCTTGTAGCGGAGATCGAGCACTATCTGGATACACCTGTTCCATACGGAAAACTCTCGGAATATAAAATAAAATAGGTAAAGCAATCTTCAGTCCTACGAAAAAAAAATGATACAAAAAAAAGACAATGTGATAATAAAAAATGTTTAGAAGACTTTTCTATGCAATAGAAATTTGTTTACGCTGTTTTTGTCAAGCTTTTGACGCTGGATCTTCTGAAGGAAAAATCAAGGTGCTATCGTTATCTCGAGTCGAGATATATGCAAAATATGAAAGTCTTTCAACCATTTTTATTAGGTGAAAAGTAGCACTCTTATGTACTTTTTTCATTTCGAATGCGAAAGAAATTATCAGTACGAATGAATGGAAATTGGTTTCTACAATTTTTATAGTACTTGTCACGACGCATCTTTTGATAAAAANGAACGATATTTCAAAGTGATTTCTATTTTGATTTTGACTTGCAGTATAGCCACTCGATAGAGAAAATTGTTCTCTTTCGATCTGCACAAGGCCCAGCTCCCTACATTGTTCCGTTTATGAGTTATAGACGTTTTCCTGAGATCTCTGAAATCAGCCAAAGGATCTCGGACCAAGCCGATATGAGTCAGAACAGAGGTAATCGACCACGCTGAGTCCAATGGCGATGTTAGTTTTTAGTTTCGAAGTCATCCGAAGCTACTAGGCCAGGATTCTTTTATAATGACACTCAATAGTTGGGATAACAAAAAAATAAAAATTGGGAAATCCTGGCCTAGCAGCTTCAGATGACTTCGAAACTAAAAACTAACATCGCCATTGGACTCAGCGTGGTCGATTACCTCTGTTCTGACTCATATCGGCTTGGTCCGAGATCCTTTGGCTGATTTCAGGGATCTCAGGAAAACGTCTATAACTCATAAACAGAACAATGTAGAGAGCTGGGCCTTGCGCAGATCGAAAGAGAACAATTTTCTCTATCGAGTGGCTATATTGCAAGTCAAAATCAAAATAGAAATCACTTTGAAATATCGTTCACAAAAGTTTCACCTACAACTTACCTGATTGGCTAATAGCTGACCAATCAAATTTCCAATATGTTTCGATGTCCCCCGGTGTCCTCTCTCGAATGGCGAAAACCGCAGGTCTCTACAATGTTTCTATGAAAAGTTATTCAAAAAGCAGTGGAGCACATTATATTTTGAAACGGATAACAGGTTAGGAGACATTTTCATTCAGTGTTGATGTATGTCAAAATGTGAAATTTCAAAAGTTTTCTGAAAAAATCATAATTTTTCTAAGTTCGATATCAAATAGAAGCGAACGATTTTAATCACATGGAAAGTGTATTTTTGCAAAAATTTCCCATGAAGTTATGATATGAAACGTAATCAAATGATTTTAGTCTTACGAGGGATGTCGTCTAACTGATTAGTCACTTTTGAGTCGAGACTGTGTATCATGTAGACACTAATGAGTTATAAATAGCCTGAAAAAAGTTCGAGCACTTTGATTATTATTGCAGATATAATGTGTTTTTTAAGCCAATGCCGCCAGCCTACTTCGAAATCTCAACTTGAAACTTTGCACAAATGCAAACCTTAAGGAGAATAGTTTATTATAAAAGTTGCTTCTATCGTGAGATATATCATTGGTAAAAGTGTGTTTGTCATATTGATCAAGTACACTACCACATTCAATGTTTTTATTTCAGGATAAGAGTAAATCAAAAGACTGAAAATTTTCCAAATGATCTATTCTTCTTAAGATTTATACTTGTGCAAAGTTGCAAGTTGAAATTGGAAAATTCAATTTTTCTCAGATAAGCTGACGGTATATCGACTTAAAAAACACATTATCTGCGCAATAATAAGCAACGAGCTCAAACTTTTTCTAAGCTATTTATAGCTGATTAGTGTCTACATGATGCACATTGTCTCGAATCAAAATTGATTAATCAGTTAGAAGACTTCTTTCTTTAGACACAAAAATTGCATTAATGTTACTGGCTGAAGTTATATAAATAATCTGTACGGTTTGTAGACATGTTCGTCTAGTAAGTAGAAAGCCGAAATTCTTTTTTAACTTTAGATTTTGTAGCTGACAAAATTATTCAAAACTTGAGATACACTATTGTTGAAGGCAAAGAGTATCGTTAAATTCTTGTTAATTAGCGAGGGGTTATAGATTACTATGATGGGTATTACGATTCAATGCGTTCGATCTGATCTGGCACATGATCAGTAGTTTTCAGGATATTCTTTTGGCATATTTGAGCTTTTAATATACTTCTTGCTGTTTTTGGTTTCGTATCGATGTTATGCATTGTCTGAAATATTGAATAAGTCTCATGAAAATAAGTTATTTTAGTTTTATGTCTTCACCATACATGAAAATTTTGATGGCATGGATTCGAGATAATCTCGTATTACTTTAAAACAGAAAACGAAAATGAGGATATTATGACTTTTTTCTGTTGTTTTTATTACATTTAAGTTAAATAAATTAATCAGAAAGTTCGAATTTTCTAGAAATAATTTGATCAAATTTAAAAATTTTTCTTTTTGTTTTTTCTTAATTTAGATGCTCGTTTCAATCAAGGTTTAATCGATAATTGTCAACGAGATATTAATAAATATTGTCAATCAGAAATAGTTGATATTGAAAAAGATGATAAAGAATTCGATGAAGATAAAGACGACTACAATGGTAAATTCTTTTTTTTTCGCTATTTATTATTTTTATTTTAATTATTCTTTTTAGATAATAATGATTATATTAATGATGATGATAAAGTAACCGATCGTCAAATGGGTGGTCAAATAATTCAATGTTTACGTTCAAAATATGCCGATACATCAATTACATTAGAATCACAATGTGTATTTGAATTAGTTGATGTTATACAAACATCAAAACTTGATGTTAAACTTGATATTAAACTTTATCAAAGTTGTCGACAATTACTTAAAAGTGAATGCATTGGTATGGATCAAGAAGATTGTTTAATATTACTTTATCAAAAAGATATAATTAATGATGATGCTTGTAAAGAACAAGTTAAACGTATTATAAGAGAAGGACAAGCTGATATACATGTTGATCGTGCTTTAGCACTTGAATGTCAAGCTGATGTTTTGAAATATTGTAATGATATTCCTATAGGTAAAAAAGATTGAAGAATAAATTTTAAAAAAAATGATTTATTTATTTAGGAAGTAGAAACCAATTACAATGTTTATTAAATATGAAGAAATTTTTAACAAAACAATGTCAAAATATTTTACAAAAAAGACAAGCATTATTGAAATCTGTAAGTTTTTTTTTTATATATTCAATTGTATTATTATTTGAGTTGGAAGATTTAATGATTAGATAAATTAAAGAGAAAATCACGAATGTTAATCAGTTCAGAAGTTAAAAAACAAAACCTTGATATGCATTTCTATTTATCACACATCCATCAGTAATTAGATATTCGTTATTGTCTTGTAATGCCGAAAAGATTTTTCAAAGTATCTTTTTTGTATTTTTATGAGATATTTTCCAATACTCTTCCTCGCCAACATGGAAACTTTTGCGCAGCTACTCTATATTTTATAAAATTTTTGTCTACAAATGTCTGCAAAAGATAACATCATTTGAAAGTCTTTTATATAGATAATATGCATATCTAAAAAGATTTCTATTACAAACATTCTTTATTATGGAAAAAAACAAAGACAGTTTTGATTTGACTATCTATGCAAGATAAATGATCATCTTAGAGAAAAAAATATTTTCTAAACAAAATCAAGATTTAAATACTTTTAAGCAATTAATTAAAAACAAACAGAAAACTTATTAAAAGTAATCTAGATATCATTTTTTCTTTGAAAAAATCTTGCTTTCAAGTTTCGAGCAAACTTCAAAAACATTTTTTCACAAGTTCAATTCACAGTTTTTTTTAGATTGAACTAGAGCCCGTTGAGTCCAAAAGTTTTACACTTGAAACGTCACCAAGCCGACGGGCTTTAAATTTTAATTAATCAAATTAATGCTAAAAGTCTCAAATTAAAGTTCTCATTTTAATTCACCTAACAAGAGAATCACTTGAACTGATGCCTACCCTTTGAACTCATATTGGGTGTACGAGAACGTCATGGTGAGACTAGCAGAAGCCTAAAAGGCTTTGTCCGTATGGGTATTTCGAGCCAAGTTATGATCGCTTTAGTGAATTTTTGACTAAGGTTTTCGGTATATAACGAAGAATCAAAGAGAAGAATTTCTTTTCTTTTTTTTTTAGATATTGAGCTTCCAAAAAAAATGACCGCTTGCCGAGTGATACTTTCAGGATATTCTATAGATCATTAGGCCTATCTATGGGCGAAATTTTTCGCCAAAAGTATTTTTTTTGATTTTTTAGTACATCCCATGCAGTCAAAAATATGAAATTGACGCGTAAAAACAGTTACTTTTTTTCTATTATTTAACGCATTCCGCACCGTCGAAAATGTCCGAAAAACAGCGTTTTAACAGAGCCCTATTCCCTTACTTTAAACTCGTTATAACAGATATTTATAAAAAGATATTTTCACGCGTTTTTATGGAAAACGCATTATAACGCGTAATTTCAGACATTTTTGACTATGTGAAATGCGTTTAGATGAAGAGCGCTTTAATGCACTTCCATGGAAGAAAAATAATTTACAAAAATGGATCACAACGCGTTTTCATATCAATGACACGTAGTATTAGGTACTGAACCGCGTTTTTGCTTGCTTCGTTTTGCCCTAGTGTAAATTTGATCGAAGGAACTTATAATTATGAGACAGTTAACTTACCTCTAGACTAAACTTACTTATTTCTTAAATATTAAATTTTCTAGTTATATTGAACGAAACTCATGTGTATATAGGTACTTTTACAGCTCCTTATAATGATGGAAGTCGATGCTGAACTCAAGCTCGAATAAAAATGCGATTTGTAAATTCGAAAGAGGCACTTTAAAAATTTTTAGAAAAACAAAAATATTAAAAACAATAAACTATTTAAATATTTATATATATATATAATTTTTTTATCTATAGATATAATTATATTATTTTTTTAATATAAATAATTCTGTTTTTTTATTACAAACATATTACGTCTTATCATCAAGTTTTTATATAATATATTTATTTCAACTTGAATTACTCTTCCACAATAATTTGTATATTTTTTTATTATTATTTAGAAAAAGTTAACTTATTTACTAACGTTTGAAAAGCAACTGCTTTCTTCTTCAGTGCATTTTAACAATAAGTTATATAAAAGAAGATAACGACAATTGTATTTTTCTTTTTCTTCTTTTATCACTCTTTATGATTGATACAGAAGAAAAAACAAGACAGTAATACTGGACGAGCTGATTTAAAATTTATTTTCTTCCGCATCAGTAATAAAGAATGATAAAAGAAGAAAAAGAAAAATACAATTCTTCTTTTGTTCTCTTATATAATTTATTGCTAAAATGCACTGAAAAGGAAAGCAGATGCTTCCAAAACGTTTCTAAATTAATTGTTTTTAAATAATTATTTTAAAAGAAGATATAAATTATTGTGGAAGAGTAATTCAAATTGAAATAATAATTGCAATGTGCTTCCAATGGAACATAAAATGTTTATATTAAGTATCAATTATTGTAATTATAGAAATTTTATAAAATTTCTATTATTACAATAATTCAAAATCCAACTCAAACAGATGTATAAGGTTGTATAGGTGGATGTCACATAATACAAGCCCCACAACAGATACTTTCTTGATAAATGATCATGTTTACCGATGCACTCTGTGGCATCACATTGCTCATTAATTAAGGTTACTTCATTAAAACTTTTTTTCCCCAAAACGTATATTTAGCTACGAGACGAATTTTCATTTTTCTCCTCTTGGTAAATCGATGTTTTTCTTTCAGTTCGCTAATCTACGTTCTAGTACATAAAAATATTGGTTCCTTTTTGTTTTGAAAATATTTGTAACATTTACGTTAGTAGGTGATGAGAGACCACATTCAATCATCAAAACGTGTTGTTAACGAAAAAAAAACAAGGTTTTAGCGAGTTTCTGTCCATTGATTCTGATTCCTATATACAAATGCATTGAAACACATCAAATCATCACCTTTTCCACAAAAAATCCATTAAAACCTGTTTATATAAGAAGTAACCAGTTTTAACGAGTTGTGCTTTCCGATGCATGCTGTAAACCAGTTATACAGCGTTTTTTTCTGCATGAACGCATTGATGCACCATTTTAAGCATTTGCTTGTCTGCATGGGTAAGTACAATGAACATATAAGTAGTATCAAGTCATTGAAGACAACAAAGGGAGTAATTATCAACATTCACTTTATTTATACTTGATTTAGTAGTTCAAAATATTACAAGAGATTAGTTTGTATAAATAGATCATTTGAAATTTAAATCCTATTCATATTTTAGGTATCAAATATATCTGATACTGTTGAATTAACAGAACGTATCGAAAACTCAAGCAATAACTTCTATCTATTCTCTATTATTCTTTTAATATCATGTGTTATATTTATGGCTGATTTTATGTATGGTTCGCGCGTACGATATAATCGTATCATAAATTATGAATCAACACCAATTAATTATAAGTGACAATTTAAAATATAAAAAACTAAGAAACAATTTTATTTTCAATTTCGATGAATCACTTTCTTTTTTTTTCTTTTTCTATTTTTACAAATATTTTCACCAATAAGAAGTAATGCTTATAAAAATAAATCAAATTTATTTCAATGTACTTTCATATTTATTATCGATTTCTTTTTTCTTTTAAATTAGTACTTCTTCGCAGTGATAACTTTTAGTTTTATTTTCTTTCATTCTTTGATCATTTTTATTATCAATTTTTCTTTCAATGCTTGCATTTGTTTGTGTCCTACTAACATTTTTATATAGTTAATTCCATATCAAGAAATTAAATAACAATAATATGCTATACAATAAATTTTGCATTTCTTTTTGACAATCTTTATTATTGACTATTCTAATACAAAACAAAAACTAACAAAAATTTGAACAACATAGTTGAATATTTTACTTGTTTTTCTTCATCATCAGAATCACTATCTCGATCACTTTCATCACATTTTACATTATTACCATCGCATTTGTATTAGTTTGCAAAACAACTACAGCAATCTGCTTGATTATCAGTACAGT